ACATGTAATGCAAATATGAACAATAGGACTTTTCTGAAGCACTTTCATTATCTTCATCCTCTTCAGATTGAGACTCAGCATCATCCTCATTGTTACCTCCTTCTGTAGTGTAACACCCCGTTCTAGAACCGGTTTGTTAACATCGCATTATGATATTAAGCGCAGTTACAATCACATGGGTTCAATTAAAATCCGGATAAATTTTTCATTTTAAAACGTACCGAACTTATAATACCCAATTTCGTGATCATAACCATATTACCTTGCGGAAACAGATAAATTAAGCTTAACATCATGTTCATTTTCCATTTTTAAACCATTAATTTACTTCTTATTTAGTTCACAACCTCTACTATATTGTAGGTTTCTTCATTAGCTATGCGTGGCTTCAAACCGCGCTCAAATCGGAGCACTGTAGCCCAAGTTAGGACAATTTGAAGCAACACAAGATAGTGTTGGTCACAGGCCCCGCGCGCTTCAGCGCGCGCTATCGGGCGCTCAAGCCTCCATCTGGGCGCTTAAGCGCACGGAGGCAGTAAGCATCAGGCATTCCAGTGTGGATGGGCGCTTAAGCGCGCATCAGGGCGCTCAAGCGCGCTATCCTGGGCGCTTAAGCTCCCATTGGGACGTTTTAGCGCGCAGAGTCAGAAGCATCTCCTCCTTCAGTGGCTAAGGGCGCTCAAGCGCGGACCAGGGCGCTCAAGCGCGCAACCCTGGGCGCTTAAGCCCCACCCTGGGCGCTAAAACACGAGGGGACAGTAAGCATCCCAACTTTCTGCAGCAAAGGGCGCTTAAGCGCAAGCCAGGGCGCTCCAGCGCGCAAGCCAGGGCGCTTGAGCATGCATATATTGAATTTCAAGTAGGCATCATTTACATTACATATCATTTACAAATCATAGAACTTAGCTTACAAAACACTATGATCATTCCCTTGGCTCCCATCAACAAAAGGTGTAACCAAAGGCATGAGCATAGGCTAAGTTCATCCAATGAATCAAGATATACAAATGACCAAAGGCTTTGAAAATAAATTCCTATACATGTCAACTACAAAGGCATGCATAAACTCAAAAGGAATGCCACATTTCATGCATAATCCAGATATGGCCACTTGCCACCAGAGGCTCCTGCAGCATCCTTACCTGAAAGGGGGTCCCCACAACACGGGGTGAGATATACGAATATATCCAGTAAACCAGGGGTCCTTGGAGCATCTCTCCACCCCACAGTTCCATATCAGTGTAATAGCAATAACAATAATAATGCAGTAAATACATATCTATGCAAAGTGCAATACATCTCCAGGAGAAATCCCTCGAGCTCTCAAGCTGTCCTAAGGAAACTCAGATGCAAATAGTCCTACTGGCCAGCTAACTACCATGTATGATTTACGCATCGTCATGCAACATACCAACATAGGGAAACACCATCCTATGCCACACCAAATGCATACACATACGTATAACAAAGCATTACACTATTTTATTGCATTTATATACACAATCACAACCTCCACCCTTTCAGGGCTTGGTAGAACAGTCAAGGGAATTACACCCAAGGTCCGAAGGCTTACCTCAATGCTTCAGTCGACCTTTGTTCTTCACCAACAGTTTCAGCAATCCACTTTTACAAATATACACCTATACAAGGGTAATGCAATTAACATATTGCATTCAAGGATAACTCATCATCATCAATCCAAGCTATCCTATTCATACCACAACACAAGGATGAGCTTACCAATTCCAATGAGCTATTCAAGCTCCATAGCTTGCTCCAATGATTGATCACTCACGGTTGGTCCAAATGTCTCAATCCTAGACATCACAAGGACACAATCAATCATTCAACTCACTAATTGTTCAACATGCTAGAATACTAACCAATCCAAGCATGAATTTTCCAATATTATGAACAATTATCAAATGACCATCTAGGCTCATTTCCACCGATTAAATGTCGTTCCTAGCATTTTTCACAACATGCTCTAAGCTTAAATCTTCCTAGAACATAGTCAACTTACTCACAATTTCTAAAATTCCCACTTTACTATTCACAAAACCCTACTCATGAAATTTTCCATGAAAATAAGGTTCAAGGGTTTAAATCTTACCACCAATGGTTGCACAACAATGATGTGAGTGCTCCTCAAGCTCCCATGGAGGTAGAAGCCACCAAAACTCCAAAATCTCACCAATGGCCGAATTTTTGAGAGGCAATATCCCTCTCCACAATGCTCCCCACTCAAAACAAAGCAAGGATTATGAAAGAGGAGGAGATTCTAAGCGATTTAGGCTTTTGAATCACTCAAATCGGTTAAGGTTTCCTCTCTCTCTCTCTCTCTCTCTCCCTTTCTTCTCCCTTCTTCTCCCTCTCCTTTCTTCTCTTCTGGTTCGACGGGTTGCTGGGGGAAATGGGGGGTTCTTTTTGGTGTTTTATCACTTAACATTGGTTAAGTGGTAACATGTGGGTATTGGTTCGTCTATCTATTTAACTCCAATAATTACCAAACTTTACCCAAAAGTCTGGAATATTATTCTAGGAATATTACTATTTTTATTTTTATATTTTGGGCACTTTCGTCAGTACCCATTTATACCCCTTAATTTTCACTGAGTACACTTTTTAACTCCAAAGTGACTCAGATTCATTTAATTAAGCCTTATACTTAATTTCACTCACTAAAACATGTTTAATTAATTAATTACACTAGATTTACTAATTAATTAAGTTGGGCTATTATAATCACCCCACCTTTTAGCGATTTTGTCCGCAAAATCAAGAACGTACCTGTCCTTAAACTCAGGATATTGCCGGAGAAGCTCATCTTCCCGCTCCCAAGTGGACTCTTCAGGCGTCCTTCCTTCCCACTGGACTTTCACCATAGGAATAGATTTATTTCTCAGCTTCTTCTCATCTCTTTCGAGTATCTTCAGTGGTCCAACAGGAGTCTTCAAATTCTCCCGGATTTCAACATTATCAGGTTGAACCACATGAGAAGGATCAGCTACATATTTCCTCAGCTGAGAAACATGAAACACATCATGCAAATTTGCCAATTGCGGAGGTAAGGCAAGCTGGTAGGCAACCGGTCCCACCCTACGAAGAATCTGATAGGGTCCAATAAATCTCGGACTCAGCTTCCTCACTCCAAGGGCTCGTCCCACACCCGTAACCGGTGACAGCTTCAGGAACACATGATCTCCCTCCTCAAACTCTAGAGGCCGGTGCTTGAGATCATAATAACTTTTCTGACGATCCTGAGCCCTTTTCAGACGATCCTTAATCATTTTAATCTGCTCAGTAGTCTCCTGAACAAAATCCAATCCAAACCGCTCTGTGTCTCCAACCTCTGACCAACAAGTAGGTGTCCTACACCTGCGACCATACAAGGCCTCGTAGGGAGCCATACCCAGACTAGCATGAAAACTATTATTATATGAAAACTCAACCAGCGGGAGATATCGATCCCATGCAGTACCCTGCTCCAGGGTGCAAGCCCTCAGCATATCCTCCAACGTCTGAATGGTCCTCTCAGTCTGACCATCCGTCTGTGGGTGATAAGCAGTGCTCAGTCTCAACTGAGTGCCAAGAGCCTCCTGCAATGCTCCCCAGAAGCGAGAAGTGAACTTCGGGTCCCGATCACTAACAATGCTCTCAGGCACCCCATGAAGCCTCACAATCTCCTTCACATAGAGCCTAGCCAATCTCTCCGCAGAGAAATCTACCCGAACTGGCAAAAAGTGTGCGGATTTTGTCAATCTATCCACAATCACCCATATAGAATCATAACTAGCCTGTGTTCGCGGCAATCCCACTACGAAATCCATGGAGATACTCTCCCATTTCCATTCAGGAACATCCAGAGGTTGCAACATACCAGAAGGCTTTTGATGCTCAATCTTTACCTTCTGACAAATGAGACACTTAGAGACAAATTCGGCAATATCTTTCTTCATACCAGGCCACCAGAAATTCATCTTTAGGTCCTGATACATCTTTGTAGCTCCCGGATGAACTGTAAAATGACCCTTATGAGCCTCTGTCATCACTTCCTCCGCCAACTGCCTAGGTACAACAACACGACCCTGATATAGTAGTACACCCTCATCATTGCAGGATACACCACTCTGACCTTTTAGTCGCTTAGCACTTTCATTTTGCAGCTGGGCTTCTTTGATTCTGGTCATCAGTTCATTCTCAATGCTTGTGATTTCAAAGCCACAAACTTTGCATGGAAAGATTTTAGATAATTGAATATCTCTGAACCTCTCAATCACATCATAATCTCTGATCATCATACTTGATATACTCACGGATTTTCGGCTCAGTGCATCAGCTACAACATTAGCCTTGCCAGGATGATATTTCAATTCGAAATCATAGTCCTTTAGGAACTCGGTCCACCGTCGTTGTCTCATATTCAGCTCCTTCTGATCAAACAAGTATTTCAAACTCTTGTGATCGCTGAATATTGCAAATTGCATTCCATACAAGAAATGCCTCCACTGTTTCAACCCAAAAACAATTGCAGCAAGCTCAAGGTCATGGGTTGGATAATTTTCTTCATGCGGTTTCAATTGCCTCGATGCATAAGCTACCACCCGCCTATCTTGCATCAGCACACATCCCAATCCCTTCTTGGACGCATCGCTGTATAGCTCAAATTCACCTTCCGGGTCGGGAAGTACTAACACCGGAGCGGTCGTTAGTTTCTCCTTAAGGCTCTGAAAGCATTCTTCACATTCTTGTGTCCAAACAAATGGAGTATCCTTCCGGGTCAAACGGGTCAATGGCAACACCATGGCTGAAAATTCTTTAATGAATCTCCGGTAATAACCAGCCAAACCCAGAAAACTTCTTATTTCTGTTACTGTCTTGGGTCTTTCCCAATCAACAACTGCCTCTATCTTGCTAGGATCAACCGCTACTCCATCAGCAGAGATAACGTGACCCAGAAATTGCACTTGAGAAAGCCAAAATTCACATTTAGAAGGCTTTGCATATAACTGTTTCTCTCTGAGAATTTGCAACACAGTTCTCAAGTGACCTTCATGCTCTTCCTTACTCTTCGAATATATCAGGATATCATCAATAAACACAATCACGAATTGATCCAGAAACGGCTTAAATATGCGATTCATGTAATCCATAAACACCGCAGGAGCATTAGTGAGTCCAAATGGAATTACTTGATACTCATAATGTCCATATCTAGATCGGAAGGCAGTCTTCGGAATATCTTCCTGCCTAATTCGGATTTGATGATAACCCGACCTCAAATCAATCTTTGAGAAAACACAAGCACCCCTCAACTGATCAAGCAAATCATCTATGCGAGGGAGAGGATACTTGTTCTTAATGGTAACCTTATTCAACTGACGGTAATCAGTGCACAATCTCATGCTACCGTCCTTCTTCTTAACAAATATGACTGGTGCTCCCCACGGGGACACACTAGGCCGGATAAACTGCTTAGCCGAAAGCTCTTCAATATGCTTCTTTAACTCGGCTAGTTCCGGTGGTGACATCCTATACGGAGCCAGAGAGATAGGCCCCACACCAGGCAACAGATCAATCGTGAACTCAATCTCTCTATGAGGCGGAAGTTGTGGAATTTCATCGGGAAACACATCCACAAACTCCCTCACCACGGAAATAGTGCCAATCTCCTCATGACTTCCGCCTACTAAACCCCCCACAAAGACATATCCCAATGCCCCGGCCCTCAAAGCCTTTCTAACCTGCAACACAGATAGATATGGGGAAGAACTAGTAGCAGAATCATCAGCATCAAGCACAATCCTTTTACCACAGCAGTCTATCATAGCACAGTTCTTTGACAACCAGTCCATACCCAAGATAACTTGAAGGCTGATCATAGGTAAACAAATAAAATCCAGCACGTAATCTCGGCCTTCATATTTGAATTCGACATCTTTACACAACACGGATGTATAACACTCCTCTCCAGTAGCAGTAACCACTTTCATTGGAGGGCGAATGTCATACATTTGCAAATTTAGCCCAACGGCCATAAAATCAGACATACAGGAGTGTGTAGCTCCTGAATCAAACAACACTTCAACATCCATATTATCAATGTAAATTGTACCTTTCACTAGATTCGGAGCCTTCTCCGATTGCTGACGGTCCATGGTATATACTCTACCAACCGTCTGAGACTCTAGCATAGGTTGAACAACAGAGACCGGAACAGCAGTAGCTTGAACTGCCATAGTCCTTGCTTCGTTCTGAGGACACTGCCTGGAGTAGTGACCGGATCTTCCACATTTAAAACAAATCAATTCACCGGTAGCACATGGACCCCTATGCTCTTTGCCACATCCCTTGCACTTGGGAGGAGGTCCTCTATCAACAAAATTCTTCTGAGTACCGGGTTTTTTGAACAAGTCAAAGGGCTTATTCGCATTCAGCTTCTTGCCTTGCACCTTCCTGTTCTTCCAATAACCTGAGCCCGTTGCTTTATTGGAACTAGGTGCCTGGGCCTCAGAAGACTTCTTGGTTTGGGACACCTTATACACTTCTTCCACCTTTCTACACTGGTTTACAAACCGACTGAACTCTCGGATGTCACAATTTGACATCTTCCGAGACATCTTCTCATTAAGACCCCATTGGAATTTGGAGGTCATTTCAGCCGGGGTGGGTAAGGCTCGCCCATAGTTGGCGTATTTCACCAACTCATTGAATTTTGAGAAGTATTGGTCAATAGACATCGACCCTTGCTTGAGATCGTTATACTCGTTCTGTTTTTGTTCCCTAGCCTCTCTAGGGAAGTAGTTGTCCAAGAACAATGTCTCGAACAACCGCCATGTGATCTCACGACCTTCAGCTTCTAATGGCTGCACAGTATTTGTCCACCAATCTTCCGCTTCCTCTTCCAGCATATAAACAGAGTAAGCCAACTTCATTGCGTCCGGGCATCTCATCACCCTGAATATTTTCTCCATCGCTTGGAGCCATTTTGCAGCCGCCATTAGCTCATAACCTCCCTTAAAAGAAGGAGGTTTGTGTTTTCGGAAAGCCATCAATCTCCTTTCCTCCACTTCATGATCACCAACATTTTCAACTCGAGGTTGACGAACCTCGGTGTGATGACTCCGACTCCCAGAGTGGTGACTACCCTCACCCTCATTGTTACCCACTCCACCCTCTTCCTGTGAAGGAGGTGGAGAAGGCGTAGCAGTGTGAGGAGGAGGAGTGGGTTGCCGGTTCACGGGCCTAGGACCCCTCAACGTCCTCAACTCGGTCATCATTGCGGCCATAGCAGTCCGCGAATCTTCATTTGTTTTCATCAGATTTTCATTGGCTTGCCTGCTAGCAGCCAACTCCCTCTGAACAGCTGCAAGAGCTTCAGCTACGGGATCAGGCTGTACGCCCGTTGCCCCACGGCCACTTCTAGGCCTCACAAGAGCAGCCAAAACAGGTTCTGGCTGAGCATTGGTGTTTGATGGTCCGGGGTTGTTTCGGTTCCTCGTCATGTCACTACACATGTTACACAAAGAAGTGAGTTGATCAGGCCCACACTTAGTGATCACAAATGCAATAATCATACAGAGTACTAAAACAACTATAAAGCATCAAACACTAAGCATACTCAACAATAGCTAACAGTTATTCCCGACGAAACTGCTCTGATACCATAAAGTGTAACACCCCGTTCTAGAACCGGTTTGTTAACATCGCATTATGATATTAAGCGCAGTTACAATCACATGGGTTCAATTAAAATCCGGATAAATTTTTCATTTTAAAACGTACCGAACTTATAATACCCAATTTCGTGATCATAACCATATTACCTTGCGGAAACAGATAAATTAAGCTTAACATCATGTTCATTTTCCATTTTTAAAACACAAGATAGTGTTGGTCACAGGCCCCGCGCGCTTCAGCGCGCTATCGGGCGCTTCAGCGCGCTATCGAGCGCTCAAGCGCGCTATCGGGCGCTCAAGCGCGCGCTATCGGGCGCTAAAGCCTCCATCTGGGCGCTTAAGCGCACGGAGGCAGTAAGCATCAGGCATTCCAGTGTGGATGGGCGCTTAAGCGCGCATCAGGGCGCTCAAGCGCGCTATCCTGGGCGCTTAAGCTCCCATTGGGACGTTTTAGCGCGCAGAGTCAGAAGCATCTCCTCCTTCAGTGGCTAAGGGCGCTCAAGCGCGGACCAGGGCGCTCAAGCGCGCAACCCTGGGCGCTTAACCCCACCCTGGGCGCTAAAACACGAGGTGTAACCAAAGGCATGAGCATAGGCTAAGTTCATCCAATGAATCAAGATATACAAATGACCAAAGGCTTTGAAAATAAATTCCTATACATGTCAACTACAAAGGCATGCATAAACTCAAAAGGAATGCCACATTTCATGCATAATCCAGATATGGCCACTTGCCACCAGAGGCTCCTGCAGCATCCTTACCTGAAAGGGGGTCCCCACAACACGGGGTGAGATATACGAATATATCCAGTAAACCAGGGGTCCTTGGAGCATCTCTCCACCCCACAGTTCCATATCAGTGTAATAGCAATAACAATAATAATGCAGTAAATACATATCTATGCAAAGTGCAATACATCTCCAGGAGAAATCCCTCGAGCTCTCAAGCTGTCCTAAGGAAACTCAAATGCAAATAGTCCTACTGGCCAGCTAACTACCATGTATGATTTACGCATCGTCATGCAACGTACCAACATAGGGAAACACCATCCTATGCCACACCAAATGCATACACATACGTATAACAAAGAATTACACTATTTTATTGCATTTATATACACAATCACAACCTCCACCCTTTCAGGGCTTGGTAGAACAGTCAAGGGAATTACACCCAAGGTCCGAAGGCTTACCTCAATGCTTCAGTCGACCTTTGTTCTTCACCAACAGTTTCAACAATCCACTTTTACAAATATACACCTATACAAGGGTAATGCAATTAACATATTGCATTCAAGGATAACTCATCATCATCAATCCAAGCTATCCTATTCATACCACAACACAAGGATGAGCTTACCAATTCCAATGAGCTATTCAAGCTCCATAGCTTGCTCCAATGATTGATCACTCACGGTTGGTCCAAATGTCTCAATCCTAGACATCACAAGGACACAATCAGTCATTCAACTCACTAATTGTTCAACATGCTAGAATACTAACCAATCCAAGCATGAATTTTCCAATATTATGAACAATTATCAAATGACCATCTAGGCTCATTTCCACCGCTATGGCCTACATGCAATGTAAGCCTAAGCTTATTTAGGCAAAGTCTAGCTATTTGTACCTTTAGTTACAGTATCATGCTTGCCTTTTTTTCTTTTGTCATTCTACAGGTCTTTCATTTGTTACTCTATGTTGCAATCTTGCTAACTTTAATATCTTTAGTAGTTTATTTATTTTTAAATACTGTGTGTTGTGGCCAAATCTGAATTTTCTTGATGTAATTAATACTCTGGCCATGTGTCTATGAGTTTGAAGTTATAATAAAAAGTCCTATATCTAAGAGTTGTTGTTTTGTTCACAATCATAGATGAGTACTTTCACCATGGTACATCATACTGCACCGCACATACCATTCAAATATTCAGAAGAATGGAATGCTGCTAAAGCACAGCTAAATGGAACTTTTCACTGTGATTATCCTCAATGGTAATGGGTTCTTTCTGCTCCTTTCATTCTAGTATATGCTTTTCTTACCAATATATTGACACATGGGGACGTAATCCCTGGTTTCTATTATCAATTAATTATGAAACATCTTTGAAATGTTTTAATACTTACAATTTCCTGATATCCATTTAAATCTGTACCGCCAGTGAATATGTTAAATTTAAAATCACCTGATTATCCATATTTGAATTTCCTCAATATAAATCACGTTGAAAGCTTTTCAAACAAGGCCCTGAAATTAATTTGATCTATTTCACTTGTCTAAAGAGATTCACTGCAAATTATATATCAAATTTCATTCAAACTTGTCTGAACCATGGTTTTATAGTTCAAGTCTTTTTGTTATCTGTTGCTTATATGAGTTAATAGGATGATTGATAAAGAAATCTCAGGTTCCTTTTTAACTAAGGATTTTCAAGAGTTGTGTTTGACAGGCAAGCAATGGAAGTGAAAGGAGGGATCTGAAGATAACAAGAATTCCCAAGGTGGCATCAACGTAGGTGCTCGACACTCTACAATTGCTCCTAACTTGCCAGGAAGAACAGATAATTAGAAGCCACAATTATTGGAATACCCACTCTACTGCCTTCTAAAAGAGTTGCAACCTTCAAGAAGGGGTGCTGAGCATGAAAGGATGTTAGTTGCAACCTTCAAGAGTTGATTGGGCCCTTTTGGGATAGGGAGAGAGTGGAACCTCTCAAATGTGTTCCACACTAGCTTATTTTTCCTGCATTGACATTTATTTCTTGTCACTGTCATTTTCTGATTTGTGCTACATATAAAACCTTGTATGCACTAGTTATTCAATATATTAGGGAATTGGATTCAGTTCCAAATTGCTGTATTACTTGCTTTAATTCCGTACCTGTCTGGTTGGTTAAGCAATAGTTGTTGTGATATTTCAAATGGAGTTCCATTTGTTGCAAAGATCCTTAACCCTTTTTCTCATCTTTATTCACAAAAAAAAAGGAGGCAGAAATCGGTTCATTATACTTAGTTTTTTCCCAGCAGCTTTTAATGTTAACCATTGTGTTCATTTGTGTCCTGTAAGAAATCATAAAATACGTGAAAAAAATTGAGGAGGCACAAATTAGATAACTGCCTGTCATGTCTATCTTGTTGTTTTGTTCATTAACTCAAGATAAACAATATTTGTTGTTTGAAAAAAAGGTTTAATGTAGCTTAAAAATTTATTTTTTTAGTTAACTAAAATCGTCATATATTTTGATATCACAAGATTTTTTTTCTTTATTTAAAATACTTGTTGAATACTTGTTATCAAAAAAAAAAAAAAAAATACTTGTTGAATACCACCGGATTTGACTGCACTCTAAAATAATCTTTTAAATTCTTAATCAAATATTAAGTGATTTTTTTCAATCCTTCAAAATCATAATTAAATATTAGTAGATTTTTTTTTGCAATTCTTTAAAATTTCAATCCATAGAAAATCTTTCCAAATTAGCACCCTGTCTCTTTATATATATTAGTAGTATATGTCTATTTTATTTAATTACTCTTCACAGTAATCCATTACCCTCTCCTTCCCTCTGAAACTGCGAATTCCTTTTTTGAATACTCTTCTTCACTCGGTCTCGTCTCGTCTACTGCTATGGCAGAACCATCCACCGCCGAAACCACCTCCGCCAGCGATGCTCATCCGCCGGCGCCAGCTTCCTCGTCGCTCAACGTCCTCGGATTAACGATTGACGAGAACAAGAAGCCTTCTCCCAAGTTCTTGGACGAGCCTGAAGACTCCAACATCCAAGCGGTTGGTTTGATCCCCATTCCCGATTTCTCTTTTCTCTCTTTCTCGGCGAGAAATTGACGGTTTATGGTTTTGAATTTATGTGCAGGTTTCGTCCGGCGACACTCCGTACACGTCAGCTACCACCTTCGAAGAACTGAATCTCTCACCGGAGCTTTTGAACGGACTCTACGTGGAGATGAAGTTCCATAAACCTAGTAAGATCCAAGCCGTAACCTTGCCTATGATCTTGAATCCTCCGAATAGGGATTTGGTCGCACACGCGCATAACGGTTCCGGAAAAACCACGTGTTTCCTTCTTGGTATGCTTAGTCGAGTTGATCCAAAGTTGCAGGCTCCTCAAGCTTTCTGCATTTGCCCAACCAGGGAGTTGGCTATTCAGGTAAGGTTCTAAGACATTGCTTTTTTAAATCGACATATAATCTTATTCTTTCATGGATTAAATAACCCATAACTATGGTTGGAAGAGCATTACTTTGGAGTCAGATTCTGTTCAAGCTTTAAGCTATCTTACCAAGTAATCTTGCTTGATCCTGCTTGATAATCTTATTCTACCATATAATCCTGCTTGATCCTGGACAAGTCCCAGCTGATGTTTAGTTACTACTGTTCGATCTGCTATGGCTAACAGTAGTGCCTTTTACGCTTTCTGTTTTTTGCTGTCTTTGTAGTTTGCTTTTAGGTTCTGTTTTTGTCTTGTGGGGCTATGCCCCATGTAATTACCAAAAATAAAATAAAAAAAATAACCCATAACTAAGAATGCAATAGCTGGTGGCCCCATACTTCCGGAAGAAAAGCTATATCCCTCCAAAGGGATATCTGATCGTGAGCCCTAGAAGTTTTTATTTTTTCTTCTTTTTTTTTTGGAAAAGCTCAGCAATGCCCTGCGTGGTTTACTAGAATCACCTATATCCCGTTGTTTTTTTTATCACATATGTCTATTTGCAAAAAGTTATGTTTTTTATCACACATGCAGCTGTAATTTTTTTTTCACAAACCACATGGGTATATGTGATAAAAAAAAATCACAAGGCATAGGTAATTCTAAAACAAACCATTTACTACAAAATCACCTATGCCTTTGATTATTTTTTATCACTCGTGTGGTTTGCAAAAGTATATGTTTTTTTATCTGCTCCCGTGATTTTTTACTTTTACAAACCATGGAACATATGTCATAGGTGATTCTAAAGCAAACCAGCTTCGGTGAACTTTCCTGTTTGTTTTTTTTTATTCGTTTGTTAATCACTGTTATCGAACTTTTCCTCGTGATTTTTTTATTTTTTACAAATCAATGGGACATATGTGATAAAAAACATTGGGCCATAGATGATTCTAAAACAAACCGGCATTGGTGAACTTTCCTCTCTTTTTTTATTCGTTTGTTAATCACTGTTATCGAACATTGTGATTTGTGACTGTGTTAGTTGTAGCTTGATGATTATTGTGTTGTGTGGCAGAATACTGAAGTTCTCCGAAAGATGGGAAAGTACATGGGGATTAGCTCAGAATGTGCTATACCAGCAGACAGTAGTGATGCTTTGCCGATAGCGAAACGGGCACCGATTATGGCTCAAGTGGTTATTGGGACCCCTGGCACGATTAATAAGTGGATGGCTTATAAGAAACTTGGGGTGACAAGGTTGAAGATTCTTGTTTTTGATGAGGCTGATCAAATGCTTGCTCAGGTAATTCTATCGTGATAATGAAATGTTGTTTATTTAGAATTTGAGGTTTCATTGTCCTTGGACTAGGCAAGCACATAGCCTTATCATTCTCCCTGAGCTTATTATTGTTACAATCTTTTGGGGAGTTGGCAACACCCTTGTTTTTTAATAGAATAAGTTACAATTAAATGGTAAGTTGTGACTCTCCTCCTTTAATGATGGATAAAGAGGAAGAGTGCACTAGTAGACCGCTTGTTTTAACCATAGTTTTAAATAGCGGGTAGCGGCCGACCCCAAAAACGCTATAGCGGTATAGCGGGTAGCGGTAAAACCGCTACTGTGAAGTCCATATAAATACTTATAATAAATTATACCACATATATTAATGCTATATAAATGCTAAAAGATAAGAAATCACCCAAAATAGGAGGAAATAAGTAATGAAAAGTATGATACTACACATTCAAAACAAGGATTAAAGGGAACATAAAGGAAGCAACATACTAGTTCATTGAAGGAAACTAAATTAATAATATTCTAGGAACATAAAGGATCCAAGTAGAGTCAAATACAAATTGCTCTATCAAAGTCAAGAAGGAAAAGAACTAATCAGAATTATCATCAAACATTTCTTCAAAGCCTTGTTCTTCTCCACCCTCACTTTCTTCACTAGTGTTAAATTTGTAGATTTGTTCATCCTCATCTTCTATTTCTTGGTTATCACCTTCTTCAATCTGTTCATCCCTTATTCCCTTAGAGCTTGATGGCATAGAGGCAGCTTCCTTCCTGAATCTAGTATGCTGCCTAGTGTAAGTTATAGGCTCATTAGCCCCAGTTACATTAGCAACATCTCCCCAAGTCAATGTATCATCATCAAAAACAAACTCATTTTCTGCATCTTCACCCACTTCTCCCACCAACCATTCATTACTTTCATCAATGTCTTTTAGGACAATAGGAGAGGGAAAGAAGATGACTACAGAAAGAAAACCATATTTGCCTCTTTTCTTAGCAAAAGTCTACGGAAAGAAAATGATGAAAAAGACGAGGGAAGAAAACAAGATTTCCCTCTCTTTTCATCAGCAAGATATAAAAAACAAATGCAAGTAAATATATATATATATATATATATTTTACATGTATTTATATTTTATTTTATCTTTGATAATATGCATTTATATTACATTAAACTGGAAAATATTTTTATTGTATCTTTTATTAAATTTAATAAAAAGTAATATAATTAATTTTTTCATTTTATTCTCTTGATTATTGACACTTACATTCTAACATTTTTTATTTTTAATAAAACAAACCCTTATATAAAAAAATATTCTTTAAACTAATACTTAATATCATCTAATTCTAATTTAAATAGATAAAATATCTGAAAATTTTATATCTTTTCTACACTTTTTTAAATTATATATCACATCTAAAAAATTATGTGATTCTAATTTGAAAAATTTCAAAAGTTTAAAAATAAACCCTTTTTTAAAAACAAACCCTTTTCTAATTTAATTTATATCTTGTTTAAATTATATATTTACAAGTTTTCAAAAACTTTTTTTAAAAGATTTAAAATAATTATTAAAATGGAGGAATTGAAAGTATATTATCAACAATGAAAAAAAAGAGAGGAAACGTGTAGATATAGACTTATATCTGAAAAGCAGATGTGTGTGACAGCCAAAGAGAAGTGTACGGGACAACAAGGAGTGTGACAGCAAAGAGATGTGTACGTGGCAGGTGTGCATGTGACCTGATGACTGATTCAAACTTAAAGTTTTTTTTTAAAAAAAAAATTGGCTGGCTTTTAAAGTTAAATATCTATTTTACCCTTCATTTATCCTTCCTTTTTCCCATTATACCCTTAAATGATAATCTAATTTAATAAACACAGCCACCGTACTTTCAGCGTTTCGTTTTCTCCATTAACGTCTGCAACTCTTCTTCCTTTCCCTGTAGCGGCTTAATAACGTTGTAAGAGCTGTTGGCCGCCACTGCCGCCACCGTACGCTACCGGCCTCTACCGGAAACTGTGGCGTCGCGGTTCGAAAGTTGCGGCTGGGTGCCGCAACCCGCACCAGAACCGCTATCGCGCGCTATAGCGCGCTATAGCGCCGCTATTTCAATCATAGGTTTTAACTCATGATAATATATATCTTTTTCTAGTTAGTAATTACTCTCTAGTAAGTATTCTAGAGATCCTAGGACCTAGTTTTAGGTTCAGGGAATTGTTATGGTTTACTGAATTAGTATTGTGATTTTCTTTTGTTTTTTAAAGCAGAGGTATTCGCAGTTCGGGTTCTAAATATGTTGTGCCCTAACTTGCTTAATTACTGTAAACTTTGCAGGATGGATTTAAAGATGATTCCCTGAGGATAATGAAAGGAATAGAAAAAGTCAATTCTAACTGTCAGGTTTGTTGAACTCTTTCTTGCGTAGTGTGCTTGTGTGCATGGCATTTTCATCCATCCAAGAAATTCTGGCATAGACTTAGTCTACAAGTTGCATAGCCTAAGCTAAGTACACACTTGACACATCGTCATTTTACATTAAATAACTACATGATATATGTGTCAATCTACTACTTTTAAAATGATAATGTATTAGTTTATGTTTTAGTTTTATTTATATGACTTGTGTAGATCAAATCTATGCAAGAATTTATCAATCCATAGGGACAGCACATCCATGTATACATGTTGTTTAAATTACCGTCACCCATCCTTCAACCTGTTCGGGTAGAACACCTGCCAATTCATGGAAGGTCATGCTCTCCCTGAGCCCTTGTGCAACTTGTGAAGTATATTTAAAAGAGTAAAGTGATTCATTCATCTTATAAGAACAGAAAAAAGTATGAGGAATTTTTTACGTAGTACATCATGCTCAATCAAATAATATTGCATAGATATGAAGATTGAATGTTAATTTGATTGATGCTAATGGTTTGCTATAATTTAATTTGAATCTATGTAGAAGGGAATTATAACTGTTCCTTGTTATTTTTGTGCACCATAACCATTTCGTCTGTACTTAAATGAACATTTTACCAAGATTGGTTGCTTTGTATGTGATTCAAATGTTGTGTGTGCTTGTATGTGATGTAGTTGTTTTTTAGTTTCTTTTCTTATCTAAGAAGATTTTGATTGACTTGTGTATGTCTAGGTTCTTCTGTTTTCTGCTACATTGAATGACATTGTCCAGAATTTTGTTTCGAGGACAGTCAAGCAGGATTATAATACACTTTTTGTGAAGGAACTATCTTTAGATGCCGTAAAGCAATATAAAGTTCATTGTCCTGATGAACTCTCTAAGATTGAAATGAAAAAAGATTACATACTCGAAATAGGAGAGAATCTGGGGCAAACTATAATATTTGTGCGCACAAGAAATAGTGCAAAAATGTTACATAAATCACTTGTCGAAATAGGAGAGAATCTGGGGCAAACTATAATATTTGTGCGCACAAGAAATAGTGCAAAAATGTTACATAAATCACTTGTTGTCGCTCCTGTTGTCGCTCCCGTCGCCCCAAGTAAGGGAGTCGACAAGGGAAAAAGGAAAGTGGTGAACATTGTTAAAAGGAAGGTCCGGTCTGCAGCGGACATTCCTGCCGAGGAGCTTGCTAGGAGGACTGGCGGCCCGGTTATTAAGGATGTGCAGGAGAATGCCCAGAGTTTGGCGGTCAACCCTTCTGCACCTGAAGTTATTCCTCCTAAACCAACGTATTCTGGAAGGAAGAGGGTTGCTAGCGAGGATTTAAGCTCGCCTAAAGGAGCTAAAACGGTTAGGGTGGAGCCGACTGAGTCTGGTCAATCAGGTGGTAGTCTCTCGTTTGGCCATGGAGAGTTTCTCGGACGCCCCTGTTGTCGCTCCCGTCGCCCCAAGTAAGGGAGTCGACAAGGGAACCCGGGAGGCTACTCTTGCTGTTGACAACCGTTGTTCTACCCAGCATGATGACTTGGTACAGAAAGGGCGCAAGATTGAGTCCTTAACGGCCGAGATCAGGCGGTTGGGTAAGGAAATTAGTGACCTGAAGGCAACCAATAAAACTTTATCTGACAGCAACCAAGAACTGAAGGGGGCTAGTGACGTGGTGCAACGCCTGTCGCAGGAGAAGGATGACTTATCAAAGTTATTGGATGAGTCTTCAACCGAGAAAAAGGGGCTCCAGGCGGCGAATAGCCAGTTGACTGCCGAGAAAGCTGCCCTTCAGTCGGAGAAGGATGCGTTATCTGTTGAGTTGACTGGCGTATGTGGTAACTTGCATGCCGCCCAAGAGGATTTTAAAAAAGCTTCTAGGCGAGTACAGGAGCTGGAGCTTGGCTTGCCTTCAGTTTTTTATGATTCTTTTAACAACGCCCTGAATCAGGTTCAATTTCGATATCCTAAGATAGATGCTTCGGGCTTGAGTGCCGATTATGTGGTGGAAGGGAAACGCCTGCTTCATAAACTCTATAATGGCGAGACGACTGTGATAGAGGAAGGGCCTGACTCTGATGAGGAAGAGGATGATGTAGAGGAAGAATCAGCCAAGTTCGGTGACTCACCTTTAGGCGACCACCATGTGCTGAGCGGAGAGCAACCCGTAGATGGAGAACCTACTGACGCCGTAGAGATCCCGTCGTGCGGATCCCATCGTTGGCGATGGTGTTATTGGCAACACTTCCTTTGGAAGGTATTGGTGAGGAAGCTTCATCTAGGAATAACGTTGAAGACACTGCTGGGGAGGACGCCACTGAGGGGGTCTCAATAGCTGAAGAGGGAATCCCTACTGAAGATTGCCCAACTTAGTTTTTCTTTTTAACAACTATCTGTGTTTGCCATAGTTGATTCGCCACTGTAGAATTGTACTTGTTATTAATCAATGGATAACCTTTCTTTTGGCAACTTCAACGCTTGATTATTGATAAATGATTGTGTAATACGCTTATTAACTGCACACTGGCTGCGGAGTAATTTGGAACTTCCTCCAATATCTATGTTTTTTTTTATCTAATGTTAAATATACATCTGAGAGATTTTATATATTTCTTTATTCTTTATTGATGACCCTTGCCATTAAGGATAGAAATTTTCACTAGAGACCAAAATTTGAGCATGTTCTACCAAATTCTCTTACGGATTCATTATGGCACAAAAGATGTTGGCACTTCAATCTCTGTTGCTTAAAGCATATTGTTCAAAATACTAACTGTGTTCGTATATATGTTTAATTTAGAATGTTAAATATACATCTGAGAGATTTTATATATTTCTTTATTCTTTATTGATGACCCTTGCCATTAAGGATAGAAATTTTCACTAGAGACCAAAATTTGAGCATGGTCTACCAAATTCTCTTACGGATTCATTATGGCACAAAAGATGTTGGCACTTCAATCTCTGTTGCTTAAATTTTATGCATGATATAGACTTGATGAAGAATGTGTATACTGTTCAAAATACTAACTGTGTTCGTATATATGTTCTACCAACTTCAGAAATTGATAAATATACATCTGAGAGATTTTATATATTTCTTTATTCTTTATTGATGACCCTTGCCATTAAGGATAGAAATTTTCACTAGAGACCAAAATTTGAGCATACTCACCAAATTCTCTTACGGATTCATTATGGCACAAAAGATGTTGGCACTTCAATCTCTGTTGCTTAAATTTTATGCATGATATAGACTTGATGAAGAATGTGTATACTGTTCAAAATACTAACTGTGTTCGTATATATATTCTACCAACTTCAGAAATTGATAAATATACATCTGAGAGATTTTATATATTTCTTTATTCTTTATTGATGACCCTTGCCATTAAGGATAGAAATTTTCACTAGAGACCAAAATTTGAGCATGCTCTACCAAATTCTCTTACGGATTCATTATGGCACAAAAGGTGTTGGCACTTCAATCTCTGTTGCTTAAATTTTATGCATGATATAGACTTGATGAAGAATGTGTATACTGTTCAAAATACTAACTGTGTTCGTATATATGTTCTACCAACTTCATAGAAATTTTCACTAGAGACCAAAATTTGAGCTCTATGGTCTACTTCAAATTCTCTTGATTGTTATACTGGATTCATTATGGCAAATGTTGGCACTTCAATCTCTGTTGCTTAAATTTTATGCATGATATAGACTTGATGAAGAATGTGTATACTGTTCAAAATACTAACTGTGTTCGTATATATGTTCTACCAACTTCAGAAATTGATAAATATACATCTGAGAGATTTTATATATTTCTTTATTCTTTATTGATGACCCTTGCCATTAAGGATAGAAATTTTCACTAGAGACCAAAATTTGAGCATGCTCTACCAAATTCTCTTACGGATTCATTATGGCACAAAAGATGTTGGCACTTCAATCTCTGTTGCTTAAATTTTATGCATGATATAGACTTGATGAAGAATGTGTATACTGTTCAAAATACTAACTGTGTTCGTATATATGTTCTACCAACTTCAGAAATTGATAAATATACATATGAGAGATTTTATATATTTCTTTCTTCTTTATTGATGACCCTTGCCATTAAGGATAGAAATTTTCACTAGAGACCAAAATTTGAGCATGCTCTACCAAATTCTCTTACGGATTCATTATGGCACAAAAGATGTTGGCACTTCAATCTCTGTTGCTTAAATTTTATGCATGATATAGACTTGATGAAGAATGTGTATACTGTTCAAAATACTAACTGTGTTCGTATATATGTTCTACCAACTTCAGAAATTGATAAATATACATCTGAGAGATTTTATATATTTCTTTATTCTTTATTGATGACCCTTGCCATTAAGGATAGAAATTTTCACTAGAGACCAAAATTTGAGCATGCTCTACCAAATTCTCTTACGGATTCATTATGGCACAAAAGATGTTGGCACTTCAATCTCTGTTGCTTAAATTTTATGCATGATATAGACTTGATGAAGAATGTGTATACTGTTCAAAATACTAACTGTGTTCGTATATATGTTCTACCAACTTCAGAAATTGATCTGAGAGATTTTATATATTTCTTTATTCTTTATTGATGACCCTTGCCATTAAGGATAGAAATTTTCACTAGAGACCAAAATTTGAGCATGCTCTACCAAATTCTCTTACGGATTCATTATGGCACAAAAGATGTTGGCACTTCAATCTCTGTTGCTTAAATTTTATGCATGATATAGACTTGATGAAGAATGTGTATACTGTTCAAAATACTAACTGTGTTCGTATATATGTTCTACCAACTTCAGAAATTGATAAATATACATCTGAGAGATTTTATATATTTCTTTATTCTTTATTGATGACCCTTGCCATTAAGGATAGAAATTTTCACTAGAGACCAAAATTTGAGCATGCTCTACCAAATTCTCTTACGGATTCATTATGGCACAAAAGATGTTGGCACTTCAATCTCTGTTGCTTAAATTTTATGCATGATATAGACTTGATGAAGAATGTGTATACTGTTCAAAATACTAACTGTGACCAACTTCAGAAATTGATAAATATACATCTGAGAGATTTTATATATTTCTTTATTCTTTATTGATGACCCTTGCCATTAAGGATAGAAATTTTCACTAGAGACCAAAATTTGAGCATGCTCTACCAAATTCTCTTACGGATTCATTATGGCACAAAAGGTGTTGGCACTTCAATCTCTGTTGCTTAAATTTTATGCATGATAAAGACTTGATGAAGAATGTGTATACTGTTCAAAATACTAACTGTGTTCGTATATATGTTCTACCAACTTCAGAAATTGATAAAAAACCTTTGTACCAATATGGCCTAACTTTCTTTTATAGCTTAGAGTCTCGCCATTTAAATTAGGGAATATTGGTTATAGAATATAAAGGTTACACATTTTGACAGACTAAAATCCAATCCAAACAAGTAAAGGAAGAAAAATGGGGAGAAAGAACCTTGATGATCCCTTTGAGGTGCTTGACGAGCTCAGAATCGGAATTTGGGAGGTGAGAATGGTCTGCGAGAAGGAACAAATAAGAGAATGAGGAAAAGAAGCGAAGAAAGAAAGGAAATTTGAAGAAAGTACCAGGTGGGTTGTAAAGGCCAGAGCGGTCGATGGAGATTGCAGTGCCCTCGTCCACGGAAGGTGTGTCAGGTGAAGAAGAAGAAAGCAATGATATATATTGTAATGAAGTAAGGGGGCGTTTAGTAGGAGAGAAATTTTTTTTTATCCGGATAATAATTATTACTGGAATGTAGCTGGAAATATATTTTACTGAAATATTATTAAAAAACTGTTTGGCAGACCTATATTTTTCTGGGAAAATTAAGGTTATTTTACTGAGTATGTGTTTGGTTGGTTATGAAATATGAGTGGGAATGTGAGGTTATTTTACCAAAATAACCTCACCTTTACCCTTTACCAAAATTGTAACGTTCGTTCCTGAAGACCACTTAGAAAGAGATCTGAGTTTGAAGTGAGTCAGATTTATATTAACGTTTCACGCTCCTCAACATACGAAGATGAAGGAGGGTAACTTGGATCAACTCAAAGGTAAATGCTTTGTCCTTCTGCCAGAAATATCTTTTTGCATCCTTCCACTCTTGTATATATCATTTTTCACTATCTTACTCGTAGCTTGAACTTCATGTTTACTTTGGTTTTCAATTACTGCTGTGAAATAGTATTTTGGGTTCATATCCTTAATCATACCTATATTGCACTTTCATTATGTATTGCACTTTCACATTCAGTTTCTGTATTTTATGGGTTTTATTGCCATTTGAATGGAATGCTTTTATTCTTTGTATTAGCTTTTAATATCCTGAATTTATTATTTGATAAGTGAACATTTCTTTTGCTCCAAAATCTATTAACAACGTAATGCTCATGACTTTTATTTCGATGAAATGAAACTCGTTAGTTTTTTCATTTCGCTGAATGGCTATTGCATTTTATGCTATGAAGCTGTTTTGCCTTCATTAGCTACTCTTTCGTAGTGCTTTTTTCAAATTCCAATTTCTAATTTCTACTAGCTAAAATTGTATCTACTTGATAACATGTTCAAACTTTGTTTTAAAATGTATCTCTCTTGAGCATTGGATTGTGTTCTAACAAATTTCTTTATTCTTAGGTTGTTGACTGAATATTATTTTGGTTAAATTTGTTTGTATTTCAGTCTTGCATGCACGGTGATCTAGCAGAATATAATTACTAGTTACTAAATATTCAATTAAATATTTTGGTTGCCATCATTTGCATATTTTTATTTAGCCTGCCAACAAGAGCAGGATATGAAATATACCAATCTCAATCTATGCTTCCCTGCTTTGTCCACCTTTAAATTATAGAATCATTGTGGTCGTTGTTGTGAGCTTCTGGTTCTGTATAAATATAACAAATGGAAGTGTAAAATCGTAGGTATGTTGTTACCTTCCTCAAGGAGCATAGCAAGGAAATATATAATGAAGTTCGTGCAGCGTACATTGATATAATACAAGGACTTTTATAATTAGATTCTTGAATCAATATTGCTATTTGGATTAGAAAAGTTTTGGTTTATCTTAATGTAAATTATCTTTGTTTATATTCTTGCTTGTAAGCATCTTTTTCAAAGTATAATGAACTTTACAGCAACATTGTAGTTCATATGTCATTTGGAGAATCTTTTTTGTTTGACGAGTTTACTATTCTAAAACCTAAGCCGCCTATAATATGGGAACCTGTTGACATAAAGCTTGTTTTGTACGATTAATGAATGTACCTAAATATAGGTT